ATATATATATATATATATATATGTGTGTGTGTGTGTGTAATGTACTGAAACTGAAACCTCAATGTATCTTACAAAATATTGGAAACTATGCATTTATTGATTACTGTGTAAGCATTGTAAAATAGGAAATAGGATGTTCATCAGCACTTTCACACCTATATTACCACTGAATCTCAACCACTTAAGTTTATTGGATCAGATACAACTTTGTACAGAGCCATATCATAAATATTTTCTTTCACTTTTATATAGTACATTAGACAATTCTTGTTGCAACTACTGTACTGTGTGAACAAGCCGATAAATCCTACCCCACTGTGTTTTCAGAGCTGGGATTTGAATAGACTGTAGGAAATGTTTACTTATGGACCAACATTCAAATATATACCCAGTTTATTGGATTGGCCTAGACTTTTTACAAAGCATAAGCATTTTATGATACTATACTTTAGCTAATTCTCATTGTAACCATTATACTGTCAATAAGTTGATAAATCCTACCCCACTGTGTTTTCAAAGCAAGGAAAGTTCTGGGAATTGTGCCGCAAAAGCTTATTTGATATTGACGTTGTCAAAGTAATCAAAGCATGGTAAAACCTAAACAGGAACAGTGATTTGTTGCTTTATATTCAGCAGCTTTTTACTTCAGCCAGTAACAGTAGAATAAATATAGGAAATAGGTGTAAAAAGATTAGAAGAAACTTTCAGGAGATTTACTTCAGAACTTTGTTATCCATACTGAAAAGGACAGACAGAACTATTAATTTTGTTTCTTCTAGTTTTAAGGCATCTTCTAGGAACAAAGTAACAACAGAAAATAAGTGTGGAAAGGTGAGAATTGTAAACTCTGACCATAAATACTTTGAAATCTTGTGATCAATATTAACAATACTATACATTTTGTTTTGCATTTGCAACCTTTGTTTTCATTATACTTTGATTACTTATCTTCAACCTGGAGAATCAAGTATAATGTTACAGTAAAGAAAATAACAGATAAAATATAAAGGTTTACTGAAAATAAAAATAAAACTGTTTGATATTTGATTACGATGTTTTTTATTTTTCATTTGTTTTCACTATTTATTATTATAAAAGTAACTAATATGTAAAAAATAGAAACTTGTTAGGTAAGATAATGAAAGAAAAATAATTTTAATCTTTGTGTGGTATATGTGCCATCAGCTTGTGCATTACACTATTTGATATGGTATCGTGAGCTGCACCTGCGCTATGTAATTTTAAACTTGTGTTGGGGTATTTTTTCGTCAGACATGGTTCAAAGGTCAATAAAACAAAAATTAAAAAATATAAATAGATGTATACTGTTATGAGCTATTTAGAATAAACATTTGTGGTTTCCTGTTACAATTTGCTGTTATTCTCGAACTAAAAGAAAGGTAATTTATATTTATTTCCTAATTTTTGTGATGTTTATGAGGTTGGTCAAATCAAGCAACACTATATAGAGTTAACATTGATAAAATAAGATATTAAATGTAAAGTTTTATTAAAAAAATTATTTGATTGCCTAGTAGGAAATGAAACTTGAAAATGTTTAGATAAAGAAAAGTATTTTTAATCTTAAAATTAAAATTACTTTACATGTTGAATAGTCAACATTATGAAAGAAAAAATTCACGAGCAAATCTTTAATACAAAAGTCTTAATACTTAATTTCAAAACATGATATTTTGTATATGACCTTGTAAGGTTTACTGATAATCTGCAAAATTTTGTAAAGCTAATCATACATTATCAAAAAATTATAGAATAATTACTCTCATGGATACTTTTGTTGTTACGAGATACGTAGATTCCACCCAGCCTGTATTCATAGGGTTAAATGTGGGATAGGTGGGAGTTTATATAGAGGGCAGCATTGAATGAGGAAAGCTATTATGTAAGAGGGGTAAGTATTTATTGGAAATATAGTTTCACTGTAGGAAGATATTAACTTTTGTTTTTCACCAAGACTGTGTTATGTTAACTGTCATTTTTCTAACAGGTTTTGCTAATTTCTGTTTGTCATTATATTCACTTAAATCATTTTTGTTTTTGTTCAGGTACATTCATTCTTCATCTTGCCTCAGCCATGCCTAATGATTACAAAATTCTTGTCATTATAATTGCCTGAATTTAAAATCAGCTTGTAAAGGAATATTTTTATCAACGTTCTCATCAATGAAGTTAACCCTAAACATACGGGAGGGTCAAAATGCATGTCACAAGCTTTTTTTTTATGGAGTTATGTTTCATATTCAATTAATCTACTTTATTACCTATATAGGTTAATAAATATGACATCAAAATGTTTTAATTTCAAAATAAAATATCTAAATAAATTTTAAGTCTGCACCTTTGAAGTCACATAATGTAGGAGTGCTCTAACTTTTCCTTTTTTTTTTTGGTTCATAAGGGTTTCAGAATTTTCAAACAGTTAGAAATGCATATGATATATATATATTGGCAAGATGGAACATAAAACTTCAA